CGCTAGTAGCCACCCAGGCCCAAAGGCCTCCCGGCGCGCGCGCCTCGGCGGTGGTGGGGCCTCATCCTGGATTGGGGTGCCAACTGGGCCCTGTCATTTTCTGGAGCCATGGATAGAGATCCACCTGGGACTGGAAGGGCGACTCGGTTGCCACCAGGTGCGGCTAGGGAGATCCTTCGGGATTATCAGCTTTGGGGTGACGATGGAGGAGATCTGGTTGAAAGACCTTCACTGCTGGTTCAGGATATGGCCATCAAAGCTGGCGACAATCCCTTTCTGTTTGAGGCTGGGCATTTGATTGCTTGCGGTCGTGGCCTACGACAGCTGGATATGGATAGTGTTTGGATTGGGGAGGATCGTGATATGCCTCAACCCATCACCATGGACTGGAAGGCTACTGGCAAGTCGGTGCTCCATGACATGTGTATCCGTGGTATGCAAGGCAAATGCCTCATTTGGAATGCTGCCCTGAACTATCCAGGTCCTGAACACAAAGGATACCTGTCGATTGATGATGACACCTTGGTATTGCCCTTGAGCAAGCGCTCCTCTGGCATCATTCCTGTTCTGCACTTCTTTGGTGGTGCTTGGGGTGGATGGGGCTATGCTTGCCAGCCTTTAGCAGAGAAGGATGTCCCGATCATTGCGGGTTGCGTTGAGGTGGATTTCACAGCGACTTGACAGTACGCTTTGTCTCACAGGTGTCCGCTCTTGTCTGCTACACAGGAACTTCCTCCTCTTTCATTGCTATCCTTTCCTGAAGGTTTCTGCATCCATGGCGACGTCTTTGATGACAATTGGTTACAAGCTGCAGCATGCTGGAATGTTGAAGTGATCACAATTTCGGCTCCCTGTCCTCCATGGAGTGGCGCTGCTGGGCAAATGGGTCTGCACTCGGCTGAAGGTCAACTGTTCATGAGGGCCATTGGGGTTTGCAAGATCCTCAGGCCCAAGATCATTTTGATCGAGCAGGTGGCGGCTTTTCACTCTCATCCTCATCGAGTATGGATTGAGAAAGCACTCTGGTTTGCAGGCTATCAACCCGCTTTTGTCTCTTTTCACTTTAGCCGTCTTCAGACTCAGACACTCAGCCCCTCTCCCGCCACCTGTGCCAGGGAGGGGCCTTTATGCAAGGAAAAGTAGGAGGTTGGAGGCCATCGCTGGTAGGTCGGAGGCCATCGCTAGTAGGTTGGAGGCCATCGCTGGTAGGTCGGAGGCCATCGCTAGCAGGTTGGAGGCCATCGCTAGTAGGTTGGAGGCCATCGCTGGTAGATTCCTGAAAGACTATGGTTTTTTTTCCATCTTCCATCACGCCTTGGCCTCACCAGTCGCCACTGCCAGAGCCGCCTTCACCTCGGACGCCACTTTTCCTTGCGAGCTGAGGAGGAGACGCACCAAACGGCCATGGCCTGCGATGCCAAAAACACGACGTGGGGCTCAATGGACCCAACACCTTCCAGCACCAAGTGGCAAACCACCAGTGGGTATCAAATCCGAGATCCAATGGAAACATGAAGCTATTGGATAGAATATGATAGAATGTATATTATGTTATTATATAACATATTACAATTTGTTGTTCATATAATATATGCATCCCATCCGACGATCCGATCTGGTTTTAAAGATATTTGAGCACGGTCTTCACATCTCTGAGGTCATGATTCTGTTACAATGTGCCAGGAAAGCTGTCATGGAAAGTTCACGGGCTTCTTCATGCACCAAGTCTCCATCAACTCTCATCAACTGAATTTGTTGCTTTTGGGGGGGATCTGCACAACACATGTTTTCATATGTTTTCGATGTTTTGCTTTTCACCCCTGCGCCTTTGGCCGCGGCTGCGGGCAGCGCACCCGCAGTGTGGCAAGCAGCCAGACTTTGGGCTGCCTGCACGAAATCTACAAGTTTGCCCACCCGCAAATGATTCCAAATCAATGAGGATAGCAAGTCATCAACCGCCATAACTGACGAGAACTGTTATAACTAATCCTCCGTGCACAATGTGTTGACACATGCCACCATACTACCTCCCCCGACCCCATGACATTGCGCCGTTGTGCCGCCGAACTCCTCCACCCAATGGCGTGGGACCTCCAGCCGATCCTGTGCAGCGGCGAAGTGCAGCGGGCGGCTCCCATGGGCATCGGGTGCACAGCCGGCGCGGCGCTGCAGGAGGTAGTCGATGATGGGCTCAGAACAGCTTGGAGATCGCTCAATTGTTTTAGAGTCTTAGAGGATGTAAAACTTGGGTGGTAGGCTATGGTCACTATGGGAACTATAACTATTTACTGTAGAAGCATCAATCCTAAAAAACCATGAGCTGGTTGGATAGTTTTCCTCATCCCTTGGAGAATAATTTTGCTCATCTCGGCGATGCTCACCTCGTGTTTCCCGGATTTCCCCGGTTGATTCACCACGCCTACAACAGGCTGTGAGTCATTACGCATGAAGGTCCTCTTGATTTTTATCATAGGTCTTGTCATTTTCTCTTATTAAGATATATAGTATATATCTGGGGGGGTGGAAAATCGGGGAAGGGGTCAGGCATTGAGATCTCCCCATGACATGACTTGAGAGAGCCGACCTGCAAGGGTCCAAGACCCTGGCTGTGGCTACACAAGTCGGCAAGTCGGAGGTCCTTTTAGTGCTGATGTTCAATGTCACGATGCGGTGAGGATCCAATCAATAGTACTATTCAAACAATGCTGCTAGCATACTGGGGTGTGCAAAGAACTCTCTCTCTCTCTGTGCGGACTTGGCTCTCTGGCTGCCTCGACAAGGCGCCTCTCTAACATTTTGCGGCTAGGAAAAGGAACACGAAGCCTCCGGTGAGAAGGACGCAAGGAACTGTCTGGACCTCACGCCTGGCACTAGTTCTGAACCACTAAGAACTCAAACGTGCGTGATCAGTCCCGAATGGTCCCCCAATCTACCCTTCCAGTGCTGCAAAACTTGGTGAAACAAATCAAACCCCCACTTCAACTAGTCAGGGATCCCTTCCAAGTCAAATTCTCAAAACCACTGGAACCAACTGGTCTATGATCTGTGCCAAGTACATCAATCAATACGGAAACCAGCTGGCACCAGCACCAGCACTCCATGTCACTTCCACATCCCTCCTTCATCCCAAACAGCCATGGGACCGCATGCCCTGTGCCGGCAGCCCAGTGGAGTGGCTGCACCAAAGCATTGCTAGAGGAGGAGACATTGGCAGCGGCCTGGGGGGGGAGTGAAGCGGTGCACATCTCAATTCCATGGATGATCTGTGGGGAGTTTTGCTGACATGTCTTTCATACACCTGTTATCACCTGTTTACGCTGCCGTGCATCTAACCAAAACAAATAAAATCCTGGATGATCCTGGCATCGAAGATGTGCTTCGAGATTTCTGCAAAGGTGCAGCTCAAGAGCTGACCCAGAAATGGACAGGAAACTCTTCTATAGGTTGGTACCTCTCAGGTTCTGAAGCTAGACTTCTCTAGACTCTTGTGAAGAAGACTTGCATGTGCAGATCACCGTGCAAGGACTAATTCGACTCTCATTTCTGTAACATGTACCCGCAGACTGATTAACAAATGGAAGAGGAGAACCACCGGTCGCCGGTCACCCACACGAGTCCACGTTCTTTCCATCCACCTCGCATCCACCTCGTGAGTCCAACCACTCGGGGTCCTGGACCAGGAAGGCCACAGTGTCCACGTCGCTCTCTAAAGCAGCAAAGTGGATGGGCT